TTCGCCCCACTCCACGATGGACGGGTCCCTGCAGCCCGCACCGGTCGTTTCGGACGAAAGCTCCCATTTACTCCCTGACTGCCTGAAGCGCATGGCCAGCACGACGCTCTTTCCATCCTTGTCCGTGGCCTGCATGGGGAACACAAGCGTGCCGTCCCTCAGCACAGCACCCGAGCCCCCTCCGCCAGACAACTCAGTCAAGGAGTGAAGAAGCCCCATAGATGCGGTATCCACCGCACGGGTCTGAGTCCACACAAGTTTCTTCTCTGCTTCACCCTCTCCAGTCACAGTCCCCTTCACCAGCAACAGCCGCCAGTGTTTTGCATCCTGACCCGCAGCCGGTGGGCGGCTGTATTTTCCCAGCAGCATGTAGACCTCGTTGCCCCGCACAACAGTTGTTGGCCGCATTACGTCCTTCGCCTCGCCCCCACTAGCCTCCCCTTCCCTCAGCAGCTGCGTGTCGAACTGACCTGCGTCCGCCGCCAACATCTCCGTGGAATAATCCCCACTTTTCTTGAGGTGCATCGACGCAACGCCACTAAAGCAGTCAACTTCACACACGTCCTTGCGCTGAGCCGCAGCAACGGCAAACACCTCGCCGCCCACCTCCACAAGGCTGGGGACGCGGAGGGAAGCGACCGACTGACTGGATTCCCACTTGACACTTATCTCCCTCGTCCCTTGGAATGGGGCAACTGCCGTCGTTGAACCACCCTGAACTTCAGCAGCCGCGCCACTGTTGCCGCGCACCAGCACGCAGAGAAGCAGCAGCACCGCAGCGGAAAACAGTTGCCGGGGCATGTTGGGCCAATCTCCCTCTCTTCCCTCCTTGTGGTGGATCCGCGCAGGCCGCGTGTTTGTGTGTTTGTGTGTTGTTGGCGATAGCAGCTGCAGAGCCTTCGAGGCGCACACAACGTTTGGTCTCTTTTCCCTCGGCGTGTGTGTGGAGGAGAAGTATCAGAATAAAAAGTGCAAACGGAGGCGTCTCGGCACACCGGCAGAAGAGGGAGTTGAGAACGGCGCTGGGACCCACACGGCAGCGGCGGGCATCGCCCAGGCAGCGGAGAAGAAAAGAAAAGAAAAAAAAAGACGGGGATGAGAAGTAAATAATCCGCGCAGAACCCCCAAAAGTAAATGAAAAAAACAAAAAGAAATTACCTCAGCAGGTGGTGTTCCTTCGCCTCACGCGTCCAGCAGCACAAGAGGACGGTGAGAGAGAGCGTGTGCGTGTGTACATTTAAATACCTGTGTGAATAGAAATAAAATAAAAAGAAAACAAACAAAAAACATCGCCCAGGCCCCAGACACACACACACACATCACGTTTGCATCTCACGGTGGCCGCGGCCTCGTGCCTCATTTGTGTCAAATCCGTGCGACTGCACAGCAACGCGGCCGACACCGCGCGTGTGCCTGTGGCAGCAAACAGGAGCAAACAGAAGAGGGAAAAGGATGCGCCGCCCCTGGGAACGTGCATGGAGTGACGAAGCAAGAAAAGAAAAGAAAAGCCAAAAAAAAAACATCCCTCAGAGCACAGGAGAGAGAAGGATTGTCCCACAGGGACGACAAGCAAACTGAGCACACAAAGCGTACACGTCGTCCCTGCCAGGGTGTGTGCGTGTGCGGTTGCCCTCACCACTTACCCAACGGCATAGGAAAGGGCAGCCGTGAGCAGCAGCAGAGATGCGCCCACAAACGGAGTGGAGATGTTACTGCTGTCCGCGTTGGTTTTCGCGTGGCTCCCAGCACTCGGGCTGCGGGTGGTCGTTGTAGCGGTGGATCCATCACTGCCGCCGGCGGAAGGTCTGGAGTTGGGCGTGCCAGATCGGCCCTGAGAAGCTGAGGCTGCGCCCGTCGGTGAAGCTGCACTGCCACCCGCTCGCCCCCCCGCTGCTGCCGAGGACTCACCCGGCGCCTTCCCACCGTCTGTTGCAGCGTTGCCTGTCCGAGTGCCCGCTGCACCTCTGTCTTCAGGAGAAGACGAGGCTTCAGGGGCTTTTTTTGCCCTCTGCCACCGCTTATGGAGTTCACTCCCGGGATCCAACGGGTAGTTCATCGTGCACACGGCAGCGGTGCTCCCTGACGAGGATGGAGCACAGCGGGTCGTACAATCGGTCTTCGAGGCCTCCTCTCGAGCCCAGTGACAAAGCGATTCAGTGAGAATTCCTTCCGTCGAAGTTATGCCCAAAGAACCTTCCGTGGCGGCCGCACACGGTGTCCAACCACTCTCGCCAGGAAAACGCCAACTGACATTTTGCCCGTCACCCGCACACGGTACCTCCACCGACACATTCACATCAGCCGCAGCCGCCTCCGTATTCGTCGCCGTGCCGCAGACGGAGGGGGCGCAGAGCAGCGCGAGGAGCGCCAGGGCGCACACCGCACGGCGCCGCAGCTTCAGCGCCATCAGTAAAAACAGCGGTGGTGGTGGTGGTGGTGGTGGTGGCAGTAGCGTCGCAGCAAAGCCAGTGGGCTGCGGGGCAGCGAAGAAGAAGAAACAGAGAGAGAAATGAGGAGCGCGGTGGGGCACGGCGCGAGAGGGTGAGAGCAGGGCGA